GCATACTATTCAGAGAAGATAACACTAACAAATTTAGTGAATAGTTTGTGTCTGAATAAAAGAAATATGATGTATGGAAAAGATTGATGAGAGTTCCAATCTAAGAAAACTGTTTGAGAGGTCTTCTTGAGATGAACTAATCTGTTCGAATAATTACCATTTAGAAAATGATCTTTTTCAGCAGTTGTCGTGATAAAAACTGAACTATTGCTAGAGTTTTCTGGCAAGAACTGGCGGATCCAAAATTAGCATCTTTCCTTCTATCAGCTGTGTCCCCTATAAAAATCGATAATATTTACAATTAAAATAGTGAAATAACATCTTGTTTTGTATTTTATATTAAGATAAATGAACTATTTGTCTATACAAATTTGTATTAAAAAATGGTTTATTCGTTTATTTGTTACGATGAACTTACAAAACAACTTATAGATCATTGTTGGTTTTTCGTAGGTGATGAATGCTTGCTCTTTACAAGATGATCAATATTGATCTCAACGAAAGACTGATGTGTTAGAAAAACAATCCTTAAGAAGATTTTCTATATAAATTCAAACTCAATAAATCTACATTATCAAACATCTGTATATGTATATTTCAATGATCTTATTATATTTTTTTGTTTATTTTTAGAAAATATCAAACTAAGTAAAAAAAAGTATAAAGTAAAAACGTAAGTTAGAAATAAATATTAATCTATCCAATAAACTACATAGCTCCCATTGAATATAAACTTTAGCTTTAGATAATTTATGACTGCATTGGCAACTCTACAGAGATTTTTTTCCAATGTCAATGATACATATTTTCTAAATGTAAACATATCGATTTTTGTCAGTGTATTAATTTATCTTATACAAGCATTACCTAAACTTTTTATATTAAAACTTTACTCCTTATTATTATTACAAGAACAAAATTTATTTACGAAAGAAGAGGATATTCTTATCAAACATTGCTCTGAGATGAATTATTTACAAATGAATAATATTGATGTTGCAGTATTTCTGAAAGACATGGTGAAAAAACGAGATCAACTATGAAAAACTATTTGTTGATTATAGAATTAAACATGTTTGTGATAATATCCATTGACAATGGCAATACTTTGATTTGTTTTATACCTTCGAACAATATTATAGATTTTTAAGATAGATACACAGAAGATCAAAGAATACAGATTGATTAAATAACTTCTCTCAAATTTACAGAGTCATTTGATTGTGTTTCCCTTTTTTTTTATCTATGACTTTTTCTATCGGAAGTTGATCTCGATGACCTATTCTTCTTTTGTCTGAGTAGCATATTTAAACATCTTCGAAGTGAAAGATTCATTTCATAAACAAATTCATTCAATCTAGATTGAAAAATAAATATGAATCAATTTAAACGAAAACTCAGTTCTGATGATTTGTCAGAAAAAAAAACAACAAAGAAATTACGCAGTAAGTTATTCGCCTAATGAATATAAAGTAATTTGTATTGGTATTGTATTGTAATAGATGAATTTGATCAATTTATGACTTGTTTTGAAGATCTATCAAATAAATTATTATTTGAAATATTTGATTATCTTGATGGATATGGATTATATGAAGCATTCTTAAATCTTAATTCTCGATTTGAACAACTTTATTCTTCATCTGTCTTGTTTAAAAGTCGTTGTTGTTTGATTCAACTTGATGAAGTCTTTAACATATTTAAACAATTTAGGTTTGCCAATTGACATCAAATATTTTCTTTACATGTAAATTTTATAATACGCAATAGTTACTTTTTTTCGTCGTTTTTGTTCGATTCATCATTTGATCGTCTTGAGTCTAATATTTTTGAAAAATTCAATCCGATACATTTATTCCAGTTCTAAGCAATTTATCTTCTTTACCAAATCTTACCTCAGTAACTATCGAAACATCTAATGTTCAAGAAGAAATTAATGATATCTATTGATTGATATTCGTCTTACCTAAATTGAAATATTATCGAATTTTCTTTTCTAATAATTGTCATTTAATTACACTTCCATTGGCTTTGAATAATCAATGCAGTCCTATTGAATATCTTGTTATTGATCATGATTGTTCTTTGAATGAACTCCTATCTTTAATTTCTTACACACCAAAACTTCGTCGTTTAACTGATCATAAAATAAAAACGAATGATTCAAATATTACAATATTGTCACCAATTACATTAGTTAATCTAAATTTGATTTAGTTGGATTTGCATCAAACAACATTTAATGTACTGGAAATATTCATTACAAAAAAATTTCCCAATTTAAAAAGTTTATGTATTGCTAGTTCAGACGATATCACTTTTCTTAATGCTTATCGATGGAAACAATTCATTTTGAATAATTTTCCTCAGTTAGAAAAAATTTATTTCGTATATGATGATCTTCTTCATCATTTTGGATTGTCAATGGCAATAGCTATTTGAAGCCGAAATCAAGGATACAAATGTCGAATATATAACTCGTCCCTACAGGTATATAGAACAATAGTTTCGATAATAAATTAATTTTTTTTAAGTAAAAGATGGTATGATGATACTGAAGATAATATTATTAACCATTATGTTAAACATTCTACATTTACTAATTTGACATTCGAATGTATTCCTAGTTCTATGTTCGAAGAAGTGATACCCAAAGAAATTGAACGTGTTTTAACAATATCAAATATTTATCACTTAGAAATTCCCGCAAAAAAAGTCTCAATTCCTGCATTGATTCAAGCTGTCAATTTATTACCCAACATAACTACATTAAAAGTTCATTCATTATCAACAGACGAAACAACAGAATTAACTCTTAAACAACTTCTTATTTTATGTTCAATAAAAGAAACAAGTAAAATTACCAAGGTCTATCTTGAAGAGATTGATGATGTTAAAGAACTTGATTTTCTTTTCACGTTTTGTCCTTGTATGGATTATTTTAAAGTTAGATGTATAAATACGATGGATGTTCAATCGTTCTTACCTACTATTTTCAAGAAAATTAAGCAAAATAATAATCATCATCTTCGTTCATTATGTTTTCCTGTTCAAACAGTAGATGAACAGATAGTTAAAAATATTGAACGAATGATCAATGGTGAAAAACCACTTTCTAATTTTCGAGTCAAACGTATACTAGATACTGTCTATTTACGATGGAAATAACTTGAACATATTTATATTTTTTTGTAAAATTTGTTTAATTATTAAAATAAAATGTTTTGTATTGATCAGTTATTTTTTTCTCAAAAATAATTCGATTATTTTATTATTTGATAACATTGATAAATGTTCTATAGAGAATGATAGAAAGAGAATGAAATATTATCAACCGGTTAGATAATCATAACATATTCCGCTTTATTTACCTAACTTTGTGAATTCTGCGCATGTTTCTTTTAGATCTTTATCATTTTGTTTGAACTTTATGTCGAATCACGAAACTTATGTTAACATGGTCAGATCTTCTATGGAAAATATATTAAATGAAAATTTTTTATGAAACCTTTGATTATCTTGATGACTATGAACTGTATAAAAACTTTTCTCAATTTTAATGATCGATTTCAACAACTTCAAACTTGTTCACCTCTTTTAATTAAAACCAAATATGGATTAGGGTGTGGATGTGGGTGTTGTGTTCTGCCACACCCACACACCGCCAGTTGTATGTATCGTTATCTTAAAGCAGCTCCAACTGCTACGACTCAAGTGACAAAAACTGCAGCCAATTCATATATATTCATCAATCTCATAATCATTCAACAAATCTTATTATGTAGTTGAATATCTTATTGGTAGGTTTACTAAACATCTCATGTGATATCGTCTGCCTCTTTAAAAGTTATTGATGGAACAATCAGACGAACAAAGAAATACATAGATATGGTCAGTATCTTGCGTTTAATTACAGATAAATTCATGTCTACATTCAATTTCCATGAAAGAAACCTTACGCATAAAATGAGCAAAAAAAAGCGTTCGTGTGTCATGACACTTTCTTTTCATTTAAAACCTTATATAAGCATATGATTTAAAAAATGAACTTATCATTCGATACGTCAGAGATTGCGCAAAATCTTCTCTTTTGAAAATTATTTCTTCATCACCTTTAACTTCAGAACGCGACACTAAAAAGTGGACAGTATGAGAAGCGACTTGCATTTTTTTGTCCATGTGTCATGACTCCTATTTTGATGTGCCTCAGTTCGACATCTCAACCAAATCAGCTGAAAATTGTATGACACAGAGAACTAACTGAATTCTATATTTGGGCCAAAATTTCAATCTTTCACAGTTTCTTAATCGCGAGATAATTGAAATGATTTATTAAAAATGTCCGTGCGTCACGTTTGGTCAGGCAGATAACAAATAGAGTTTAGAATGTGAATAATTCGTATTAGATAAGTTATTTTTGACATAGAAGAGAGAAAGAAAAATATTTTTCATGATAGAATGTGAAGGTATTTGTTAACAAACTAAAGCTACCGCCTCTCCGTTTTATCTTTCATATAAGAGAAGACAGCCTCTCTCTGTAGATTATTTCATTCATTCCTTATACACTCTAACTGTTTTTCGTGTGTTTTATCCATAATAAACTTAAGGTTTTCTCCGTTCTACTGTCTACACAACTGGTTTTGTTATCTACAAAATCTCAGAAGAGGTGAGTTCAAACTGAACAGCAAGAGTGAAATGAGGTCTGTATGCGGTTGATGTTTGTATACAGAAAAGAAAAGCAGGAAAGAATGTTCAAGAAAGTGTATTTCGCTTTTTCTCTTTTGAAACTGCTTTTTCTAAGTCATTTTTGTACCAGTCTTGAGAAGAGGAAAACTTGGAATAATTTTCATTTATAAACATAGAGGCGCATCAGTCTAAATAGCAAATCTCTAAGACTTGTTGCTCTAAAGGTTGTTTGTAGTCTACGTGGTTAGATTAACACGAGCTTTTTAAGTAGGTATCCATTTGCAACTTTAGGATATAGAAATACTATTCTAATTCCTTCTCTTTTTTTTGGAATATTTTTTCTTTTGAGAATGACAATCTGTCCTGAATGTTATGGTGTTGGTGAAGCTGTTATTTCCTGTGGATTTTGCGGTGCATATGTTTGTGAAGAATGCTATATGCGTCATCTAGTTATGTGTGGTCCAGATGATGAAAAGCAGAAACTAGATGAAACAACAAAAGCTAGTTAAGGTAAGCAGTTTATCTTCAAGCTAAAGAACAGTCAACGTTAACCTCTTCGATAGAATCACGATTAGTCTCACACATAAAGTTAATAGGAAGGATTAGGAAAAGAAGTAGAATTGGAGTTGGTGACAATAAAAAAAGATTTCTTCTCTATCTGTGAAAGTCATGCTCATATTAATATCAGAATTGTAAGAAGATCTGTAGAATTTCACGATTCACCTCACTTATCAAAATTTTAAACTAATTGTACTTTTCTTTATATTTTTAGGACTTCTGTGCCGTATGATAGAAAATGATTCAACGTACAAAAGACGTTTTATTCAGTTCTTTTTTTTATCACATACTGTATTAGAGTTTTCAATAAAATATTCTTAGTTCAAACTTCTTGGAAACTAAGTTCAAATTTGCTTGTCTACGTTCGATGAATCATTGTTTTTAACAATCACCATATAGTCAAATCATCAGTTGATTTTACTTAAATGTTTGTCGACCGATGAAAATGCAGATGAATGAGCAAGAATTTAATAAAATGAGAAATAACAAAGTGAACACTGCCAAGACGACAATTGTGAAGAGAAGATTGTGAAAAATCACTTCTGCTTGTCGAGCGATCGGTTCTTGCTAATTGCTTACATAGAATATATTTCAGTCGATTGTGACACTGATATTGGTCTGTATTCGATAAAAGAATGTGTAGATAAATCATTGGCATTCAACGGAGTAGTTTTATTGATGATCTGAGTCAAATCAATGAGAAAGACAGCCGATGGAGCAAGAATTTGATCGAGCGATGACAAAGGGAATTTGAGCTCCATGAATATGTAACTTTAAATTAAAAAAAACAACAATCTTTTAATAATTTTAGTATCTATTAGAAAGATAATCATAGTTGTTCCTAATAAAAATTAACTTTTGATATTGGTTCAATCTATACAGCATTCATAATTGATGAAAACAACATGTTCAATAGATCTTTCACTGGCCATTTTCTGTCACTGTCGAAGATTTATTTAGACCGAGTCAAATGGCTTCAATTGTCTTCACTCCTGGCAATATGAGTTGAACACTAATTGTATGCAGTGGAAGTAGGATAGACCACCTTAAAATAGTGTCATTATAACTTGTTTGACATTGTGCAATAGGTAATATGATGACTGCATAACCAATGAGATGTTGTATATAGAGAGAATCTTGACAATTGAATATCGTTTGTACAAGATCAATTGCTTATCTTTTAAAGATTGAATTTTATTTTTATACATGAATTTATTATCATAGTAAAGGGTTTCCTTTAAAATTACTTTGATTTCTGTTCCAATTAGAGAGTTGTTGATGGAAATCAAAATTAATAAGATTCAAAATTCAAGATTAAGTAAACGAAAAATTTTATATCATCATATACATTCAAATTTTGAGACTTCTTCTAATTGTTCTAGATCGATTAACAGCATAAGAATTTTCTAAATAATGAAATACTGATTGCCAGGACTCGATTGGGACCAACAGACTTCAAAATTTTCGAAATCTGATAGCCTCATAATGCAGATTCTTTGACCTTGAAAACTTTCAGTCAAGTTTTATTTGAAAAAAAAAATCGATATTTTCTCAGAATAGTGTGTTCTACGGGTAATTGTACGGTAATAAATTAACAAAATTAGTAAGATGAAAATCATTTTATGAACAGATTTCACTAGATTTGTGATTGCTATTATCGTGAAACACATATAACCCTTGTTGCAAAAGTCTTCAAACAAAATATTTATTCATTTTTCAGTCATCTCAACGCCATTAGCGAGAATCAAAAGTAGTTAACTAAAATCAGATTTTTGTGCTCTTTCCGAATATCTAGTCAGAATATTTTTCTGACTCAGCTTTGATAAGAAATAGGCCAAATGTTTGTTCATCTTTCAGCCACTAAAAGTATTTGGTATGAATCAAAAGTAGCTCATTAGAACCAGTCTTATCTACTCGTCTCTAATATGTGTTCAGAATATCTCTTTGACTTACGATTCGTTAGCTGTAAGTTAATACTGGAAGGAGACGAAAAATGACATCTCAACGAAGAAAATTTGATTTTAGTTAACACTTCTAATTCTCATTAATGACGTTTAGGCGACTGAAAAATGAATTAAATATTTTCTTTGAAGACTTTTGCAACAGAGGTTATTTCGTTTTATTTTAACTTGAAAATGAAAAGCATAGAACTGACAACATCTAAGGAAGAAAATCTAATTTTGTTTGAGTAACAGAACTTATAGAATTATATGGATATTTTAATCTCTTAACAATAAAGAAAACTTTATTATATAAACATATTAATATTGCAAAAAATAAATTTAGAGCCAGTATGCACATAACTTACGATAAAACATATTCAATAACACGTAATCTCGTTATATCATTGTTTCTTGAAAATTGTACAATATCAATTATAAGACAAGTTAACAAGACGCGAAAGATTATTAACATATTTTTGTGAATCATCATCATCTTTCGTAAATAGTGATAAAACTAATTAAGAGAAAACGAAACAAGGAATTTTATGGTTTATTGATTGATAAAATATCAAGTAAACTTACTTCATTTTAGTCGTATCGTGACGTTCAATAAGAATGATATGAACAATGGTTCTGCCTCTGCTGGTATAAAGAAATCCATTTGATAATGATAAAAATTAAGTTGATGATCATTCAGATTGAATATATTTGTTGGTTGCATATAGAATGTATCGCCCATTGTAATTGATGGTACATCATTTTCACGTCATGTTATCAAATGATGATATTAGCGTGTCCACATATGAATGTGCTCAACTGAAATCATTCTAATCAAAATAATGGATGATACAAATATAACTTTTTCTTCTATTTTAAAGATCGATTATTGCTTTCAGAGATACATCATACAATGCAAATAAACTCAAGAAAAATGACTAATATTTCCAACAAAGTTCTATTCGAAATGACAGAATTTAAACT